CCCAACTTTCCCTCTCACGCACTCTCTCTCGCTCTCTCTCTCTCTCTCTCTCTCTCGTTTTCGTCTACCTCTCTAGGTCGGAGTCGGGCTTGGAAGGCCTGGTCGAACCCTATCCGCAAAAAAAAATTCTTAGGTAATGATAGCCGTAGGTCGAGCCTTCCTTTACGCTTCCCATCAAAGAGCAGCCATTTCTCAACCCCTATTACGGTATGATAATACTTTCAGTTTCATGCAAATTTGTAGATTTTATGAAGAAATCTGTGTCTTCAACGAAAGAGCCATATTTGATTGTGGACAGACGGTAGAAGCGGCTGAACGAGCGAAGACAGAATATCGAGGCAGTTTGCTATGGATGAAACAGGAAAGCGAGGAGGTAAAATTTTGAGGACTGGTAAATTCCTAAGGAGTCTATGCTAGCTTGCCCCAGAAGCGCTACTAATTTTCTTTACAAAATCACGGCTGCTACGCTAATTTTAAAATTTTCAGCTAGACCCCTCGAATTTCCGGCAAATGGATCGATTCCGAGAAGTCCAGGCGACGGTTAGATTGAATAAAGAGCGGTTGGACCGATTGAAAGAGGATACGTTACAAAAGGTATAATTGTCGAGGCTATCGTATCCAATAGTATAAATTACCTTCAATTTCGCAAAAACCAAATTTTGAGGTCGACCTCCTCTCGGCTAGCCGATCTCATCTACTGTCGCATTTGTTAGGACGGTAGGCTTTGACAAACCAGATAAATTAAAGATGTTTTAGATACCTCGAGCTCCTCACGACATACTACCAAAAAACGGGAACAATCTATGCAACGCTGGCCAAGAACCTTTCGGTCTACGATCATTATGATTTTGAAATATTGACGGTGAGTGAAGGGTAGCGAGAGAGAGAGAGAGAGAGACAGAGTGAGAGAGAGAGAGAAAGAGAGAGAGAGGAGAGAGAGAGAGTACGAACCATCTTTTGATTTCAGGAACTGATCGAGCCCTCAAGAAAAGCTGCTCAAAAGGCTCGGCAAGAAAGTGTAGAGAAAGAGCGGGAAGAAGAGGAGCAGCAAAAGGCTGTTGAGGCCGAGCAACCGGAGTACGTTTTTTTGTGTAAACGAGGCAGAAGCTCGCTAAGTTCATTTAGAAAATAGAATTCAGGGCAGGCTAGCAGCGATCGTTGAGGAACAAACTTGAATTTTCCAGCTTGATGCAATTCAACGACCGCGACGAGACGAGCTTACGCTATTTATTTGGAGGAGAATCACCCAGTGAGGAGAGGATTGTGACGGATAGGAGGGTAAGAGTTTCAAAAAACCGGATAAGGGCAAACTAGCAGCGATTCTTTGGAGATAGAAAATTTAGAATATTTTAGCGACTTGCCGACGATGAGGAGCGACCAGATAGTCCGCTGGTAGGAGAAGCTGAGATTGGGATGGATGCGCTGGAGGGGTTGCGAGTTGTAAGTTTGCTGTTTAGTTTTAAAAACGAGAGAAGCGAGAGAGAGAGGTAGCGAGAGAGAGAGACCGAGAGCGGGTGAGAGATACTGACAGAGAGAGAGAGAGAGAGAGGGAGAGAGTGAGATCACCAATAAGTTTGTACTTTTTCAGGACGACCTATCAAACTTCGGGCCCCTCCCATCGCTATATCAAGCCCAAAACGTGCCGAAATTGACGCCGCCCCCGGAGAATTTCACTCAAAAGCCCCCACTGTCCAAGACGATTCCAAAACACGACCCGTTCGACTTATTATCGTTGAGTGGGGATCTCTTCCGCCCCAAAGGTATCGATTGACTTTTGGAATTACGATCTTACCAGATTCTTGAAGTTAAAACGCTATTTTAGCAAATACCGATGGCTCCGATCCTACAAATCCGACAAATGCTTTCCAGGGGAATGCCGGGTTTAGTAATGTGAGTTTTTAAAGATTTATTATACAAATTCAAGGCAGATTTAAAAACAGATAACTCTGATTTGAATTTTACAAGATTTTACGCAAATATTAAAAATTTATTTATTAGGAATGGGACTCTCTACTCTCCCAATGCGATCTACAGACTACAAATGACTTGATCTAATCTGAAGGATTGTTGGCTGTTTTCACTTTACTATTTCAATTGTGCTTTATCGATCGATACTTGCGTACTGTATATATGATATATCTGCTGCTCGATATCCCTAGAGTTTCTTTGGAATGCTTGCAAATTACTGTGCTGTCCATTGGCGATTTGGGGTTTAATAAATGGTAGTTTTCGGCAGAGACACGACATAGATCGGTGTATCTCACTCTCTCCCTCTCTGCCTCTCTGGCCTTCTCCCTGTCGCTCTCTCTCTCGCTCTCGCGCACATTGACTATCTCTGTCTCGCTCTCTCGCTCTCACTGTCTCGCACTCTCGCTTTCTCTCGCTTTCGCAAGTTTTCCACAAGTGTCTCTGCTGGCATGCCCGTTGCGCATAACCCTTTTTCCAAAATCCTCTTTTCTTGCGCTAATCGTATAGTACGCTTGGAGGCACTTTTGCCACTTAATAGTTGCCCTTTGGCTACAATCAGGGAGTGTCTATTCCATTGTATGTGGCAGGTGTGAATGGCTGCGGCGGTCCCTCTAGGAAATCCTAGGCAATATCTGCCTTGGGGGTATATTTGTGCCGCCATAGCCTTCCACCCACCCAACCCGAAGGGGTACACACTCATACTAATTGCGTCAATTCCTCCATATGTCGCGCCCTTTCGCACCCCCGGGGGTATACCGACACCCATTCTGGCCAACGTTGAGAACTAATCGGCCTGATTAAAATGTGGACAGCGCTGGAATTGTTGCGGGGTGTTGTGTGGAGCGGAGCGTAGTCGGTTTTAAAGGTATCGCGAAGGCGAACTATGTGAATTTAAAAGTAATAAATAACCTGCTTCGTAATAAGCGGTGCCGTTTGAAGCTGACGTCCAAAATCACGACAAAGCCATTTTTGTAAAATTTTTGGACTGTGAACGAAAAAGTTTCGACCACGATGCCGGTACGCTACACTACGGTATGTACGTTTGAGCGAGTGGTGAAGGGAATTTGTCCAAACACCTAAAATTCTGAACCCTGAAGGACCATGATAACCCAATGAACGTATTATTTTTCGGGAAATAAGACGCTACGCCTACGGTATCTGGTGGGTGTCATTTGGCGCGTAGTGTTGTTGGTTTCAGGCGTTTTCACAACCAGAGTCTTTCGGATACCATCTTGACGTGATCATTTCGAAAATCGAAAACAGATTGAAGGGGAATAAACCTGAAATCCAAAAAATTTCGAATAGCCGGCTTCTGAAAATTAGATCTCCATTACATTACCATTTTTCCAGCGTGTCTTTTGAAGCGTTGTGTAGTTGTTTTAGTGATGAAAGCGGTTTTTTGGGTAAAGCTAGAAGCAGATTTGAATGTAGGTCGTAGTGTCATGAAAAAACGTCAAAGGATCTCCGCCCTGGTTTTAAAGGGCCGTGGAAGGCAAATTTTTTGTCGAAAACCTGGTTAAAAACCTAAAAATACCAGAACGTTGTTGTGCCATCCTCAGCATCAGCTCAACAATTTTGATATCCACACATTAATCACCTCTTTCCGTTGTTCGCCTTAATGCGCTAATTGCCCCCCTACTCCACCCAACTCAAAAATTCAGTAGCACGACAATACGGTGGGGTGTGTTTAGGGCAATTATGAGTGACTGGGCCAATGGTCGGGACCCCGGGAATGGACAGGTCGTGATGAATAATTCTCGATCGCTCTCTCCCCAAATGTACACTGTTTGGGGGGAGGCCTCAAATTAGGGCCCAACGGGGGGCAGGTGGGCCCCGGGCCACTGTGGGAATATTCGGAGCCTGGGTCCATTCTATCCGGTGACCCCTAGTGCGCGCAACGGGGGGAGACAATGGGCGGCATGGTTTTGGAGGTTTGGAATATTAGAAAAAACAGGTTAAGGGATAGCTAGCGGCGATCATTTGGGAACATCAGGTCTGGATTCTCGATTTTAGGCTTTTTTGAGGCGGGCGGGCAGAGATTCTTTGAGAATTGCCGAATTTTTTAGTCTGCACATGCAAAAATAACCACGCCTTTAGTGGAACAATTTGTTTGAAACCCAAGCTTGGTTTTTGGTGCCTAATAGCAATAAAAAAATCAACAAAATGACGAAATTAATTTACGCAATTTTTCGGACCGGGCTTCGGCGTTGATTTTTGGGATTTTTAGAATTTCTGTTATTTCTAGCAGAGATTCTCGAGGATTTTTGTTCTTGGTGATTCTGCCGAGGTGACGACGGCTCTCTCTCTCTCTCTCTCTCTCTCTCTCGTTCTCCCGCTATTGCTCTCTCTCTCTCTCTCTCTCGCTCTCTCTCTCTGTCTATTTATCTCGCCCACTCGCTCTCCATCACTCTCTTTTACTCTCCCCACTCGCCCTTTCTCTCTGCGGCTCTCTCGCTCGCTCTCTCTCACTCTCTCGCTTTTTCTCTCTTTCGTTCTCTCTCCCTCCCGCTCTCTCTCACTCTCTCCCCCTCCCGCTTTCTCGCGCGCTCTCTCTCTCTCTCTCTCTCTCTCTCTCTCTCTCTCTCTCTTCCTTCCGCTCGAACAAGTTTACACGGGCCGGGTTTCTAGATATTGTGCCCTTCCTTTCAGTCTCCCTTCTACAGAATCCAATTACGTTACAAGCGCCGATAAAAAGTGCGGTGCGAGGCCCATTTCTGCCCCACACTACCCATGTGCCCCTTACGCCCCAGCTAGTACGCACTAATTTGGTCCCGAGAGGGGCTGGGCCTGTTTGGGGCCAACTTTCGGGCCCACAACTGGACATTTCGGACGGCTTAGTTTGGACTTGGGTCCAGATGGGATGCAAGCTTTTAAAGGGCTATTGAAGTCGCTGACCTATGAAAAGTCTATTCGGATCTTTTTGGTAAAAAATCCGTAATTCGTCTGTTCGGCTACCTTGCCCTCCGATTCCGCAAAGAATCTCTGCTAGCTAGCTTGCCCTCCCTTTCCTCAGGCATCTCTGCTGGCTTGTCGCTTCGTTTATCGAGCGCTGCCTGATTTCTCACATTTTCCTCAACACTTCCGGCTGCTTCCCCATCCGTTTCCTCAATAATCTCTGCTAGCTCACCTGGTCAAACTAAAAAACAATATCCAAGGGATTACCCAATACTAACCCCCAAAAAGATCCGATTACCTTTGGGTGTTGTGCAAGGGGATTTAGGGTCTTCCACCCCCTAGGGGGTCGGGCCTGGAGCCCTGTAATTTTGTCTTCAATTGTCGCCCCTAGCCCCCCAGCCGGCCTCCCTCATTTTTATCCCCTTCCTCCCCTTCTTCGGCTTCAGCCATCCCCCTAGAATAATGAAAGCCAGAAAAACCCCTGGCCGCCCATATCCATCAAATTGATGGCATGAGGAGGGCATTGGAGGAACGCTTAACGTTTTTCGCATTTGGGTTTGAGCCCTACGAGATCGGAGCAATACGGAATTGGGGACAAGCTAGCAAAGAGCATGCAGTAAACGGAACTTTGGTACTGTGGTGAGTTTGGTGCGAGGGCAAGCTGAGAGAAAATCTTGAAAAATTTGGGATTCAGGTAGACTAGCAGAGATTCTTTATGAGGCGCTTCCACGAAGCGAGACTTTGATGTTTGATTAGGCTGGCAGAGATCATTCGAAAATTTTCAAAATAAGGATAACACTAAAGCTAGCATAGATCTTTAGAGAAATTCTGAAAAAATTTGCTGGTCCGGTACAAAAGCGCCTTATGAATGAAAAGCTTCCGGTAGCTGGCAGCGATAATTTAGAAGCTTGGTTTTATTTGACCAGACTTTTCCCCCTGACTTCCCGATCCCTTTAATCCATTCCGTTACCCTCCTCCTTCCAAATGTCGGAGGCTCCTCCCCCCTTTTTCCCATGTGTGGCTGTGGCCGGCTGGCTAGATGTGGGTGCCACCTTCTGTTATACGACCCGTCCCTCCCCTTCTCATTCTCCATCTCTTCCTCTCTTCCTCCCTTCGGCTTCATCCTCTCATCGCCCCCTTATGCAAATCTTATGATTTGGCATGGGTGGCCTCATTCCAAGGGCCCATTGTATACCCCGCCCTTGTCGACAGGGTATCACTTTCATTTGCCGCGTTGTCATTGGCACATTTTTTGGTGCCTGGGATATGCCTAATTTGCATAATTATTTGCAAAATTAGATTTCTGATGAATTGATCGAATTAATGGTAGAATTATGGGGTCTGATTGTCTTTCTCTATCGCTCGCTCGCTCGCTCGCTCTCTCGCTCTCTCTCTCGCGCTCTCTCGATGTTTCTGCCTCTATCTCCCTCGCCCCTCTTGGGGGAACTGGGTCCTTTAAAAGAAGCGGGATGGAAAAATTTAAAATTTTTGATTTCCGTTCCTTCCTTCAATTCCTTTTTCCTTGAGAACATGACCGTGTTTTTCACATCAAAGAGCTCTTTTCTCAGTTCTTTCACCCTAAAAGGTATCATTGGTTAAGGCTTACCAGCCTCTTAAAAACATATTTTTTCGCCTAATAACCCAAACCATATTGCCCAAATCTCAAGGATCATTAAAAAGATAATAAGCCAGATGCTCCACACAAATCCCCGGTTTTCCCGGCGGCCAAACGGGGGAGCTTCGCGGAAATTGAGGGCGCAAATTGCGCAACTCCCCCCGGGGGAGGGGGCCTGGGGCTATTGTCTTCAAGCCTAGGCCCACACACCTGGCCCTATTGCCTTGGCTCGGGGTCCTATCGCGATTATCTCCACCAAGCTGGCCTCGCTGCAATTTTCTGCACTTTTCACGGCTTCACCCCCCACACTTTTTCTGGACGGGGCTGGGCTATAAAAAGTAGCATAAGAAAAATGGGTAGGCTAGCGGGGATTTTTTTGGGTAAATCGTTGAAAATTTCTGCTAGCTGCGGCGAATTCCTCAATGGTCTCTGCTAGCCGGCTTTTGATTTGCGAATTTTCTTTGCTCACACACCCTTTCTCAAAAAATCCCTGCTAGCCTGCCTTTACTTCCTAAAAAATTTTTGCTAGCCTGCCTTCCTCAAAGAGTCTCTGCCAGCTCCCCACAATTCCTAAAGAACTTTGGCTAGCATGTCCTTGCTCAAAGAATCTCCGCCACCCTGCCGTCTAATTCCTAATTATCTCTGCTAGCTCGCCCGCGTGTAGGTCAGAATTAATTCACTCCACCCTCGTTTCGAATTTTGACACAAAGTGCTGAAGACACCCCACCCCTGCCCACCCCTATTATGGCATCCGTGGGGTACTGGGCCCTCCCTAGGTTAGGGCCCATGATCTGGCCGGCAGAAATTGGATATTACCCCCGCCACAACCCCTTAAGACCCCCGGACACCAAAGCGGGAGGGCCCACCCCAGGGGCTCTTCAGATTGCCTTCATCTACACTCACACTGGGTACTTGGGCTGTGTTTTGATTAGCGCCGCCTGGTTTATGTTCTTTTGTGCAAAATTTTGCATTTTTTGGATTTGCTATTTCCTAAGGAGTCTCTGCTAGCCTGCCAGCTGGGGGAGCAGGGATTTTTTTCAGCAACGATCTCTCTCTGTCTATCGCTCTATCTCTTTCGCTCTCCCTCTCTCTCTCACACTCACCCTAATCGACGATTTTCAGGACATTTCGACCGTATTTTCGCCCTAAAATGTGATGTCTAATGCCGCACTACCACAGCTTCTTTTACTTCTGCTTGTTGCTATATGCAGCGAAGGGTCAGAGGAGGTCAGTTCGGTCATAGAAGCGAGAGAAAGAGAGAGAGGGGGGGAGAGAGAGAGAGAGAGAGAGAGAGAGAGAGAGAGAGGGAGAGACAGAGAGAGAGGGAGAGCGAGAGAGGGAGAGAGAGAGAGAGAGAGAGAGAGAGAGAGGGGGGGGAGAGCGAGAGAGAGGGGGAGAGCGAGAGAGAGAGGGAGAGAAAGACAGAGAGAAAGAGAGAGAGAGGGAGAGAGAGAGGGACAGAGATAGATACAGAATACGGAAAAGTGATCGCCTTCGTTTTCAGCGCCCTTCTCCACCCCGAAAAGATTACCGTAAATTCCGAAGCTTACCTGAATACGTCCAGCACCCAGGCTTTTATTATTATTAGTAAGTTTTATAGATATAATGGTAATTAAGTAGATTAATACGGTAAAAAATAAATTCAGGTCCAATCGGTTCATGTGAATTCTACAGTGGCAGAATCCCGTGTGAATGCTTTCCGGTTGAAGGGGATTACGGGCTGGTGCAGAATGAAACCACGGTAGGTGACCGCTGACAGGCTAGCAGGGTTTTCGAGGAGCAAATTGCTTTCGCAAATTGGCATAGATCCTTCGAAAATTCTCACTTGCCTTGTTTTTCGTTAATTCCTATACCCTGGCCCATCTACCGTACCCCTTCCAGCTCCTCACCTTCATCGTGGGACCCCCAGCCATCCAAATTTCTGCTCAAAAAACGTCTTCACCCCTCCTCTCCGAGCTGTCGGTCCATATTCGCTCTCGATTATGCCAGGAGCAACAGTATCACCTCCAGATGTGGCATCGGTAAGGGGTTACGGTAGAAAAGGAGAAGCTTTCAGGACCCACGAGGTGCTTCCCGATTCTGAAGACTATTGGGTGAAAGTGGACGAGAAGGCGGTGATGCTCAAAAATACCGAGGTAACTCTCTAAAGACTCTTTTTAGCTGTTATTGCAGAAATTTATCGAATTCCCGTGCGAAACGACTGCTCGAACAGGTGTTTACCGTTTCGACCTCATCGGCCCGAATAATGTGACCGTTACGGTAGGAGGGTCCGCTCTTTAGAAAGCCACTTTTCAGGCCGAGAAAACACTTTTTGTGAATGCGTCGACAGAAGTGAAGCTCCAGTTGAGGGAGGGCTCGATATTTCCGCATTGCTCCGATGAGTACCAGATACGGTGGACAAATCCGAGGTACTGTACTAAAAATTGATCTGTAGATGTCTGTACCTTCTTAAATGCTGATTTAATTTATATCCATTGTGGTTTGAACGCTATTTTAAGCTATCAGACATTTTTTAGATGCACCTCCTCGCCTCTGCAATTCCGGCTTCGGCTACTGGCAGTGCCGGAAGGGAATCCGGATCATGTGGAAGAGAGAGCGATTTACGTAGAGGAAATTGGTATGCAAATCAGGGTGGATAGATTTTATTTATGGGGTAAAACCAGCTATTTACCGAAAACCATCAAAAATGACAAAAGCCCGGCTTGAACCTAAATTCTTTAAATTTTATAGTTCCTGCGGAACAAAAACTTTCGAAAATTGTCGCGAAAAAATCCAAATTTTAGGGCTTGACGCTGGCGATTCTTGGCTATCACTGCCATGCTCCCAATTCGACATTCTCTACGAGCAGTACTGTTTCGAGCTCGTATCACTACATCCCCTTTCTGAACAATTTCATCAATGGGACGTCAAGTGTATTCACACGGAGCCAGGTTAGTATCTCAAGGATCCGTATTCGTTCTCTATCTGATCTCTCTCCCTCTCTCCCTCACTCTCTCTCTCTCTCGCTCTCACTATGTCTCTGTCTCTCCTTCTCGTTCTCTCGCTTTCTCTCTCCCCATCGCTCTCCATCTCTCTCTCTCGCTCTCTCTCTCTCGCTCTCACTCTCTCTGATACATCTTCTTCACAATCTAATTGTTTATGATTCAGCAGGCCTCCGGCACCATCCCTTTAAAAACCTCCGTTACCCCAGGCTCTAGACTCCAAGCCAATTCTCGCCCGTTCCTTTCTGGGTCAATGAAATTAGGGCCCAGCGAGGGGCCCAAAAAGTGGCCCACTACAAGAATAAAGGGGCCCGAAGGGGGGAGAACACAGAAGCACTGCGGGGGACCCAACGGGGTTGAGGGCCAATAGGGGGGGATACACGGCAGATGGCCCATCTTGTAGACAGCACAGGAGCACCGGGCAATTTTTAGGGTGCCAACATTGGCAAGTGGGGTGCCAGGAGCTGGGATCTGGGAGCTAACAAGGGAAGTGCACGACCGGCCCACGAGAAATCGACATGAGACATAGTGGATCTGATAGAATCGGGCAGGGGGATTCCGAATCTGTAATTAGAATTTGCTAAATAAAACGGAGAAAAAAGTTATGAAGCTTCAAAGTTGGTAAAATCGCCCAAAATCGGACTTTTATGGGCCTGTAAAGGCCCAGGGAATGGAAATTTGCCACAACCCATTAGTGCATCTTGTTCAGCAGAAAAAGCGCTTTCGAACGAGCTATCTTACTTCAAGTTTACGATGATTTCGCGAAAATCTCTTCTATGAACTGGACAGGCCATACCCTTGCCCGTGAATCCAAAAAAACTTTTTTCAGTGAATTGTTTGCAAATGCTACGTATTACAACTCATTCGAAAGCGCTTTTTCTGCTGAACAAGATGCACTAATTCTTTTCTTTACAATTCCGTTCCCCCGGTTTTTACGGGCCCTTAAAGGTACCGTTTTTGGCGATTTGGCCAACTTTGATGCTTCATAACTTTTTTCTCCGTTTTATTTAGCAAATTCTGATCACAGGATTCGGAATCCCCGTGTCCGATTCTATCAGATCCACTATGTCTCGTGTCGATTTCTCGTGGGCCGGTCGTGCACTTCCCTTGTAAGCTAGAAGTTGAAGCTCTTCACCGGTGCTCCGGCCGATTAGTCAATTTTCGCGTAATACCAGAATCCCGACCGCTAAAATACCGACAGGACAAAATGCCGAGAGCGCAAAACTTGACAACCACAATCTGTGAGCTGGGAGCTGGGAGCTAGGAGCTAAGAGCTGCAGCTGTGCTGTCGGGATTTCACTATTTTCCCGGAAAAAAAACATTTTTTCGAGCTTGAGCCGGGCCATCTAAAAGCAGGGAGCTAGGAGCTAGGAGCTAGGAGCAGGAGCTTGGAGCTAAAAGCCAAAATCTGGGAACTAAAGATCTTTCTGCACAAAAATACGAGCGGATTCCTCTCCGTCCTCCGACCATCCCATCCGGCTATATTCCCCCTGGCCGGATGGGTGAACGTGGGGCTACTAATTACTCCTCTTCAAACAATTCCCCCCTACCCTCCCCAGTCTGCCATATTCTATAGAGTGTCCCCATGCCCTGGCAGCACCTATCAGGGCAGATGGAATGGCTGATGGGTTTACCCTCTCTCCCTAGGGACTCTCGCTCTCTACCACCCTGTTGAATGCCCATAGTAGTGCAGAGGAAAAGCTTAAAATAAGCCTTGAATGGGGGGCTTTGGGTTTAAGCTTATGTCCCAAACAAATGAGTGAAGGGGGAGCTTCAGGTTTTGATGGGTAAATTTGGCTTAAAGCGCACGTTCAGGGAGGGGCCGTGTACTCGTCCCAACGTGTACACCCAATGGACGTAGGGACCGCGCACACTGCTTGCCCGTGCTGTGACAGGCCATTCCCCTCCTTTGCGGGGTGGGGCGCCCCTCGCCCCCGCCAGGTTGTAGCTGTGGCTGACTGGTATCCATCCGCGCCTCCCGAGCGGGGGGCCCGGGTTCGACCCCCGGCCGCGGCAAAAACTTTTGCTTTTTTCCAAAAAAACGTCCCTGAACGTGCCCTTTAAACGCAACGAAAAACTTGAAAAAGAAGAGGGGAAAGTTGTATGATCCTACTATATATAAAAAAATAGTTCATGTGTGTGTGTGGACTTTGCATAAATGGCTCGAAAAAACCGGGTTACTAAGATATCGGGAAGGGGATCAATTTTAGGACCCAGTCGAAAAGTAATTAGGGGTAGTCGAGGGGTAGTCAGGAAGATGGAAAAGTAGCGGCTTTTCACCCCTGGTTCTATCATAAATCATGAAATCTATCATGAAAGGTGCGTGCCATTAATACATCAGTACCTTTGAGGTTCTTTTCCATTATCGGGGGAGGGCTTCTTTTTCTAACGTCCAGAAATACCTAATGGTGTGATATTAGGTGGCTTTATAATGTTTTTTTTTGGCAAATTTGCGAATATTCCAATTGGAGACTATATAAAAAGCTAAAAAACTTTTTAACGTTTGACATTTTGTTTGAAAATTGGACATTTCTATCGAAAAATTTATATTTTTTACTTTTGAAAAATATTTATAAATTTTTTAGGCTTAGAAAAAGCAAAAACAGCTTAGAAAAGTTTATAATAGAAAAATTGGATTCCGAGAAAAAGTGTGTTTCCCCCCAATAATGGAAAAGTACCGTAAATATCGACAATAAAATTTCGAGATTGCGAAATTTCGACACCATGAAATTTCGACGTTATAAAATTTCAAAATTTTAAAAGTAATGGACTCTTCTTTCGTAATTTTTTTGAAATTACTTAATTTACAACTCAATTTTCAGTTTTAAAACTTTGCTCTAGCAGTCTAGCAGTGTTCTTTCCGGAACGGGCAGGCTAGCAAACACTCTTCCGGAATTTTTCCATTACCCCGGGCTATAGCTATCTACTAAGGAAATGAGTATCCACGATCCAGTAGTCATGCTAACGGGTTCACCTTCTCGCCCCCGACTCGAGACGAGCCGAGGGGGGCACCAAGATTTATCGGTGTCCCGGCTAGGGGGGATGAATGAGGGAATAATTGCCCCACACAAGACGAGGAAAGACGCCATACGGACCACAATTCTGTACACCTCCTCAATCCCCATGAAGAGGGGCCAATTTCTGGGGCTTGACCCTTTGGGAGGAACCACGGGAAGGGCAGAAAATGGGGTCACCACCACTTGATTCTGGGCCATATTGTGGGCCCTAAGGAGCCCAGATTGTGATGATGAGCAAAACAAATCTAGTAATCTAGTGATTGGTCCTTGGGAGTGGATAATTACTGAACGAAGATGGACAACAAATAACGAAATTGGGTGATGTGGGCCATTAAAGGGATGAGAAATCTCACGCTCGCTCCCTCTGTCACATTGTCTCTCTCTTTCCCCCCCTCTCTCTCTCTCTCTCTCTGTCTCGCTCGCTATCTCTCCCTCACTCTCTCGCCCTCTCTCTCTCTCCTTCTCGCTCGCTCTCTCTGTCTATCTCTCGCGATCTCTCTTTCTCTCTCTCTCTCTCTCTCTCTCTCTCTCTTTATCTCTCTCTCTTTCTCTCTCTCTTTCTGTCTATCTCTCGCGATCTCTCTTTCTCTCTCTCTCTCTCTCTCTCTCTCTCTCTCTCTCTCTCTCTCTCTCTTTCTCTCTCTCTCTCTCTCTCTCTCTCTCTCTCACTCTCTCTCTCTCTCTCTCTTTGTCTATCTCGCTTTCACTCTCTCAATTTCGCTCGCTCACACAGCAGCTAGGCAGCTAGACAGCCAAATCCAGGAGTAACAAGCAGAGTTTTTTTGAGGAATTGGAGCTGTCCCAGAGCCTTTAAAAAACGTCCTAAAACCGTCCTTTTCAGTCGAAACCGTCCATGGCGGCTGGTCCCCATGGTCTGCCTGGTCACCATGTGAAGGTGTTTGCGGCACGGGTGTACGGTAAGAAACACCTATTTTACAAGGTAAAATCCAAACTTTAAGCACGAGATCCCGTGCCTGCGATTCGCCAAAGCCAAAGCGAGGTCGAGCTTGTTCCGGGGATGTGATCGAGCGGTTGACGTGTCCGCTGAAGCCGTGTCCAGGTAGGAGTGAACTTGCGGAAGTCGCTGGAAGTTTTGAGGCAGACAAACTCGTTTAATTACACTTGTTGGATTTATTGTGAGCAGCTACATTTTCTCCTAACATTGAACTGCTTGAAAACAGCGACACCGTAGTGTTTTAAAGTACTGAAATTGTTGAAGACGTTGAAGTGATCCAAAATCTGAACTCTTTAAACGCTGCATCTGTCATCAGAACAAGTGAAACGCATCGAAAGCGTTGAAGCGCTCAGTCCAAATCCGTGTAAGCTTTTGAAGCAGTTCAACGCTGCTTTTGCTGAGCTCGTCGTCTATTCTGATAATTTCCAGAAGGCCGCTTCCTGCTCACGGACTCGAATTGCACGTGCGGGTGTACGGTAGATGCGGATCGGGGCACTTTTTATGCGGCCAGGCCGACGGGTGAGTATCAAGAAGGTTTTCTGTAAGTTTACAGACTCTCCTTGTACCGGAAATGCCACTTGGCGACTCCCAGCTCGGCATCGTCATCTGGTAGATGTCATTGTAGTTCGGGAAGGACGGACCGACGATCGACTGTTCGTCTACAGCGCCGCGCCGTATAAGGTTAGTGATTTTTTGCCGTAATTTTTTTCTTTCCATTTTATCGACAAAATAATGCCGAATGTTCTGTAAATAGCGATACGATGTCGAATTTCAAAATTTTAAAGGTCTATCGAAGAAAAATCCACAAAATCCGGCCATTATTTTTCGAAAAACTTTATTTCCGCTCGAAACAACCAAAAAAAGCACACACACACTGAGGGGAAGAGACGAGAAATTGAACAAAAAAAAGAAGAAGAATGTTACGGCGGGGGGATACAATAGAGTGGGTGGGGGGACAGATACGGTATGTGTGATACTTCGGCGGGCTATGGCTTTGTGGGTGCGGGGCTCGGGATCGGGACATAGTGGAGTTGGCGGGCCATCCGAGGGTTCAGGACTATCTTCTCCTTGTCGATCGTGAAGTAGCGAGCCTAAAAATGGGGGTAGTGTTTAAAGGGAGCGTGACAGATCTGGAGGCAGGCTTGCAGAGATCCGTTGAGGAATCGGCTCGAAATTTGCTCGTTTGGTGCTTTTAAATGGAGCTTGACAGCTGGGTAAGGGGCTGAAATAGGGCGTTTAAAGGCTGCGCGGCTGCGGGTTAAGGCTGGTTAGCGGAAGTTCTTTGTGGAAAAGACGCTAATTCGACAGTTTAAGGGGCAGTTTCCCTCAAATTCACTGACCCTGGTCATGTGGCCGAGGCCGCTGTTCTGGTCCTCGGGCGCATTGTCGTAGTACTCCTTCGAGAGCATCAGCTTCAGCGTCGTCTCCATCAGCTAGACACAAAAAAAAAATAAATTTGATTTTCCTGCCTCACCTTCGGGCCAGCGACGTAGCCAAACCATTTGACGCGGTCATCCTGAAAAACAGTCTCTATTTCAGATTTTAGAACCGAAAATTGTGCTCCTCTTGGTGTCACCATCCCCTTAAAAGCTACCGTAACCCCTATAAGACACTACCTCATTCCTGACAACGAATGGCAACTCGGTGGCCGGTGGGGTGGTCGGGATCATCGGGCGGCAATATTGGAACGAGCTAAAAATGCCGAAAAACCATGCCGGAAACTCGTGAAGCCCACTTGTTGTCTGAGCCCAGGTAGTAGTCGCGGATGTTGTGCATCACCTGGGTGGTGCGGAGGCCGACGCGGAACGCATTTTTGCTGGAATCCAGTGGATAGACAACGGCTGGCTAGCAGATTTTTTGGGAAACAAAAACTTCAGTACTCTCTGCTAGATGCCCCCTAAAATGCGAACCATTTTCCCATGGACGTGGTGATGACGTAGACCAGATCGCCGCGCTTGATCACCGACACCGAGTCGCAAAAGTCGTCCTAAAATTCGAACCGGAATCCGTTACGCAACGCAAAAACGCGCGTCACGCCGCTTTTCGCGCCGGCGGAACGGAAACCAACAAGGAATCCACAACAAAAATCGATATCCTTGCCTTGCCGGCTCCTTTAAAAGCCCGCTAAAGCTTCGCCACCCACCCCAACAACTTCGCCCTCGTCGAAGGCGCTGAGCATCGGGATGAAGTCGGCACGGGCCGGCTCCTCGGGCGTCTTGAAGTAGCGGCAGCTCACTTTCTTCGCCGAGTAGCTTTTCGAAAGCTGCAAGTAGTTGTTTCTTTTTTATATTTTTAAATTTACTGTAGCTACAAAATTTACCACGGCATGCGGGTCCTTTTCGGCACTGAGCAGCTGGTAGAGGTTGGCAAAGAACTGGGTGCCGTAGGGGTATCGATGGCCGACGATTGAGCCCCACGTTTGGTTGCCTTGTTTAGCCGGAAATCCAGGAATCTTCCTAATTTGCATCTACCCCTCACCGGGTCTCGCTTCGACACAAATTCCTTGATGGAGGCGCTGTCGGCAAAGAGGTTAAAGTCGCGAGGCAGATATTTCGTTTCCACTGAAAATTAGGAGGTAAACACAAGATTATGAGTCGTACTCATCCAACTTTTGGCCGGCACTTGTTGGTGTTGTCCGGCCGAGCCGTACTTGTCGATGTTGTCCGACCGCCCCTTACTTGCCGAACTTGTCTGGCCGGACGCAATTGTCGGAATTGTCCGGGCTTTCCGTCTTCAAAGTCCCGGACAACACCGGCAACTACGAGCGGTCCACTCAGGGCATTAAGTGGCCGGGCGAACGACACCGACAGGTACGGCCCAGCAAATCCATAAAGTGCAACGAATCGGATAAAACCGACAGGTACAACCGGCAGGCGACACCGACAAGTATAGGCCGCAAAAACCATAAGGAAAGAGCGATTGGACCGAACCGGATACATTTGGACGAACAACACGAAGAAGTACGGTTATTCGGGGAAATTGATCTAGCAAAGTGCGGCCGGCCGAACGGGTCCGGCAAGTACGGTTCAAAAAGGTCGGCGAGTACGCCCCGACAAATCTAGCAAGTACAGCCCGACAAGTCTAGCAAGTACGGTCCGAAAAGCTCGGCAACCACAGCCGACAAGTCGGACACTTCCGGCAAGTACCTGCCAGAATAGTCAAATCACTCACTAGGAGGAATCGTTGCGTAAAAGTCTTCGCGCACCATCTTCCTCCATCGATCCGAGAATGCACATCCCGGTTCGGTTTGATCGTCGAGCAGCCCCTTTTGTTCACTAGAACGCCATTTAATGGATACTACGGTAGATGCGGTGCCCTACTTGTACTTGAGTTCTCCGAAGATCGAAGAAGTGAATGTTTGGCTGCAAAATAAGGATCGGCTATTACGCAATGCAATGCCGAGGATACCTCGATTTCTCGTCCCACGTCGAAAAGGGAGCAGTGCTGCAAAAAAGACGTAAAGTATACCATAAATTTCGCCGCGCTCTGGCGAATATTTTGGTGTATTTTACAACCCTGAAGACAGAGGGCAACCGTGATACAGAACGAAATCCAATAGCTGGTACCTTTTGGCCCGCGCTCGCATCTCGTCGTCCCCCGCGAGCGGCATTTCATGCGTACCGCCAAATAGCAGGTAATTGATGCGCGACACCATCGTATCGGACCATCTGGAGAGGCATGTTCATCTACACGACGTGGGAGGGAATTCGTTTACAGCGGCAGATACATGAAGAGACATTGCGGCTCGAGAATGTCGTCCAGTGTTTGCGGAAGCTTTCGGCTGTAAAATGGGCTTTGTTGGTTAAAGCGCACGTTCAGGGAGGGGCCGTGTACCCGTCGCAACGTGTACACCCTATGGACGGAGGGACCGCGCGAACTGCCTGCCCGTGCCGTGGGAGGCAATTTCCCTCCTTTGCAACGTGGGGCGCCCCTCATCCCCTCGCCGGGTTGTAGCTGTGGCTGATTGGTATGCATCCGCGCCTCCCGAGCGGAGGCTGCGGGTTCGACCCCCGGCCGCGGCAAAAATCTTTGCTTTTTTCCAAAAAACGTCCCTGAACGTGCCCTTAAAGACCGTCAGAACGATGAAATATCGTTGAGAGAAGAAAGTTCGCCCCGCGCGGGCGACCCGGGGTCGGTTGGGTCCGACGCGCCACCACTATACCACAGGGCCAACGGGGAGGGAGTCAGAGGCCCCCAAACCCCAGAGGGTCTTTTGCCCAATACGGACACCACTTACGACCCCCTGTCCTTGGGGGGGGGGTGACAGTGGGCTTTAAATTTTTTGCCTAGGCTTAGGCTTAGGCTTAGCTTAGGTTTAGGCTCAGGCGTAGGCTTAGGTTAGACTTAGGCTTAGGCTCATGAAAGCTATTACCCGGTGGTGACGTAGTAGAGGCCTTGTATCTTCTCGCTGAAATGGTGCATTTGGTAGCTGTCCAAAAGCGGCCTACTTTTTGATGAACGTGTCACCCATGAACTCGAGGAACGTGGCGTTACGGCTGCAAATGTAGTGAGTCTTGGACGATCGGAGACTTACGTGATGGTCATATTGAGCACGTCTATCGAGCGGCCCCATGATCCCTGGCGCAAGGTGCTGCATAGGTTCGTCAACTGGGCGAGGCCTTCCCTGAAGGACAAGTAAAGGATGGGAGAACGACAAACAAGCCCCTACTTTTGCCTGTTCAGCACCTCGGCTTCTTGGAACTCGAGAAGATGGGTGAACGATCGCCAAGTCTCCGTTGAAACAGGCACCAGACGGCCAAACTGCATTGGAAAACAGGTATTGTACTGCTAGCGGGGGAGGGATTAACAATAAAACTAAGGCTAAACTCCAGATAACCCCCCACCGACCCCCCCCTGGCCCCGTTCACTACAGGTGTGTAAGAAACCCAAACAGCAAGACGAAATTTTGTATACTTTCCAGATAAAGGGGCGAATAAAAAGGCGGGGGGGGTACTGTGGAAGGATAACAATTAGTTCCCCCCCGCTAACCGTCCAGTACTTATTTTCATATTTTTAGTAGTTTGGATAGAAAAACAGGCTAAGAAAGATCCTTTAGGCAATTTGGCCATTAGGCGAGAAGGGATAATTTGGGAGAAAGGGTATCACCTTATCCTTGCCAGTAGGCAGAAACAAGAATTTGACTTGTTCAAGCCATGCATGCATGTCGGCAAGGGTAGAATTCTTATCGTCGTCAAACTTCTTGAGAGCCGTGTATTTGAGGACCGTGTAGGCGGAGGGGACCCCCGTATCCCACATGCCTTCAATGGTCCTTTAAACGGCTGTCGATTGCCCCCTACTCATTCCATATTTTCGAGCCTCGTCCGTCTGCCAGTAGGTGATGAACCCCTGCGAGCTGACCGTCTCCGCCAATGGGGGGCCAGTGCTAGAAATAAAATTCCGCAAATGATCACTGCTACATCATCTGGCTTTGTCGAAAATTAGGCAGACGGCAATTTTTCGACATAGAATTCTTCGAAATTTTGGGGAACTTTTGTCGAAAGGTCAAATTAACGAAATTTCGCTGTCGGTATTTCATCTAAAATAATCGCTGGAAGCCTTCCCCACTCGCTCAAGCGGAAGACCATGGCGGATGAAGCCGAGTAGAACGAGGCACGCTGGGGGTTCTCGTAGATGGCACACATGTGGATGAACAAAGCCTGCTGGCGGAGGGTCCAATCCTGGCCCACCGAGCCCGTGCTGCAAGTAGAAGTAGATGATGTTGATGATCAATTTTCGGAGCCTTCGCATTATCGGGGGGCTTTGCAATGGATACCAAATTTTTTTATCCAGAACTGGTATTTTAGTCATCGTGCGGAAAATCTAACTGCAGTTAAAGAGTATAAACTATTAAAGTCGCCCTTCAAGAATCAAAAATTGAAATTCTGGTCAATGGTGACTCAGATAACCCCCAGCCGGCCCAACTTGTATCTCGGCTCCGTTCATCTACAGGTGTGTAAGTATACCAAAATGTTCGTCTTGTTGTGGAGTATTTTGGTATACTTTACACCTGTAGTCAACAGGAGCCGAGTACGGGGTGGGGGTCGGCTGGGGTGGGAGTTATCTGGAGTTTAGCCAAAAATGATATTTTTGTAAACCCCTCCCCCCTGATAATGCGCAAGAACCCATTTTGCACGATCAATACCTGCAAAATACGCAAAAAATCTTGGGCAAAAAGCAAAAGCCTGTCCTGGACGGGGATCGAACCTTCCTCGCTAGCATCGGTAGGCGCGGACCCATACCACTTGACCAAACGGGATCGAGGACCAAACACTCGTCACGGCCGCGTCACCGCAAAACCCACCGCAACATACGCGCACACTGCCCGTGCGTCGTCAAGATGAAGTCGGCCTGGTTGGCAATGTTGATGACCTTCTTGCGGTCGTCGCGCCACGGCGCCTGCCCCGGGGCGAACCACTCTGCCGCTGTTGGCTCCCTCGTCTAAGCGGATTCAGTGGGTTTTAATTTAATTCGAGAAAACCTTTACCTCTCCCAAATAATAGCCTTGGTCGGGCGTCAGGGACATCCAAACGACGGCGCTGATCAAGAAGAACAGCACGCTCGTCCACAGAGCCGCACGAGAAGCCCATAGCCACCACGGGCTGGAAAAGCGGCAATGGCTCTTTTGCGTTACCGGCGGGGGGGGCAAGAACGAATTCCCCCCCCCGCTAAGGACCCAGAACCAAAAATTCCATAGAAACGGACTACAGCATACGAATTCCGAAAATCTCAACTCCGCACTCGCTAATTGTAAATACCGATTACAGTATTTTCCAATCTACAAGAGACGGAATTACCGTAATCCCGACTACGTAAGCCGTATACAGAATTTGGTATTCTCTCGAAGCTCTCAAACGAAGCGTAAACTACGTACTCGCGATCAGCCTGAATGGGCGGATACGGATCACGATCCCAGACGTAGAAGCTGTCGCTCTCCATCGGACGGTCGTCGATGGTACTGTAGCGGCATGGGTTACGGTACCTCCAAGTCGCTATCCATACCCATCGGTCGTTCCACTGCCCGGGGTGCTGCCACGGGAGATCGTCACTGAAATTACGGGGTTTTTACAGGAAGTCAAGCAAAAAAAATAAAAAAAATTGGGATTCCGTAAAAAAGCTACTGGAAAAATTAAAAGCCAAAGTACCCACTTGTTTTCCAAGGATTATTATGGAAGCAATGGGCACGACAATGGCATTTTCCTAACCGCCAGCTCAGCGAAAACTTTATGCAAATTTAGTAGGCGAAATTTGCATTTAATGACCGGCTGTTTGTCGACATTCGTAAAATTCGGAAACTGGTCGATATTTTTGCGCAATTCGGCGTTAGAGTGTCGGCATTTTTCCGGGATCTTGTTGTTTTCGGTATTTTTTGAATCTCGACTCATAAAAATCAGATTTGTCGGTATTTTTGGAAATTTCGGCACCGAATATTGACCCTTTGATAAATCATTTAAATCCTTAATTTACGATGCTCATATCGGCGCAGTGCTCATGTCATGCTCATGCTCAGGCTCAGTTTACTGATTTCAGACGCTCCGGTGGAGCTCCTCGGCCGAAGATCAAGCCACTTGGACGAGTCACCTGGACGAGGACCTATTTTTCGTGTTCGTGCCGAGAGATGGGAAAGCGGAGCGTGACGTGCATCTGCCGGTTCCGGTCATCGACCCGAATACCATAGCTCCTGGGTATACGGTCGTCTATGTTGTCAGGCGTACGTTTTTGGCGTCTAATTTTTGGCCTAGGATTACGTTTCAATACTGCTTACGCTACGTCACGGCGTAGTAAAAATCCCATTCTTTAAAACAACAAAGTTAACGACGTAGAAAACCAGTACCTTAAAACCGAAGCGCATGCTTGAAATGTCAGTACGCTTCGCTACTGTACAAATTCCATTCCATCCCATTCCGCAACATTCCAATTGACGCCTAGAAATTCCTTCGCGGGCCACGCCTCCCGGTCTATCTTAATTATTCCGACTAATGTCAAGAGCGCTCTCTTGCGCGGGGGTGTATGCATACGGAAATTTTTGGGACATGAAGGAAAGGAAGACAGCTGTAGCTCTTTAGCTTCGGCTTCATGGGGAAAAGACAACAATTGGGGAACATTATCAATTTCTTAAAACAAAATTCCTAGCTAGAAAATTTGAAACAGAACGTCGAAAAAATCCACAAATCCAAATTTTAGCCGAAGTACTGCCGTTAGCCCTCGGGAAGGAGAGCTGCTATCCATTCTGCCAGAATCAGCTGATTATTGGTGAGTTTTTAGAGGTCGATAGGATTGCCCTCTGGCTCAAATTTTTGGGGGGGTCTTTTTTTTTGGGACACCCTGTAGCTTTACATCGCGTATTAATAATGACTATTTTTTTCAGCGTGTACCTGCCTGTTCCTTCTCGCTCTTGTCTTCATCCCTCCCTTCGTCTGTGCCTCCATCACAAAACGAGTCCGACGAAATGAGACACCCGATTTGCCGTTGATCGATAAACGGTTAGTTTCAAAAGATATTGCATTTTTGCGGCTTTTTTGCTGAGGGCTGGCTAGCAGAGATCATTTAGGATACCTTCCTTTCAGACCCGATTCCGAAATGATACGCTCGGGGAATACCGACACCACGCAAGCCAGTATCCAGAAGTTTGTCGCCAAGCGGAGTATCGGCATCCAGTTGAGCGCCCACGGGACCCCGAGGTACTTTTAATTTTTTTGGGATATAAAAACTGGGGTATAAAACGAAATAGCTATTGTATGATGTCTACAGTATCAGCTAAAGTATCCCAACGTAAAAATTGATTTTCAGGACAAATCGAGCTGCCGATACACCGCTACCCTTCGGCTCTTCAGCCGCCTCGGTTTTGGATGAATTGGAATATGACGATTATGATGGTAATTTGAAGCCGCACTTAAATTTCTAGCTTTGCGTTTCTAAACTTTATTATGCGCATAAAGCTTTGTAATCTTTAATTTTCTAGGGACCAGAGATCCTGGCTCGCTTCTGGCTCCTCCTCTTCATGAACCTTACTCGACAATTGATATCGAACAGGTGAGGCAAGCTGGCAGAGTTTTTTTGGGAAAGCAGACTAGCAGAGATTCTTTGGGAAGCGTTAGGCTAGCAGAGATTCGTTGAGCCAGTCGCGCTAGCAGAAATCCTTTAGGAAACGGCAGACTAGCTGAGATTCTTTGAGGAAGGCAGGCTAGCAGAGATTTTTAGGGAATTTGATTGGCAAGGCAGGCAAGCACAGATCCTTGAGGAACGATTCAACTAAAAGAACTTAAACCATAAATTCGATCACGCAACATTTTCAGATCATCGCTGAAGCCCGAGAAATCGTAGAGCACGTGGAGCAGAGTGACGCTCATACCCAAATTTAATCAAGGATGATCAGCACCAGAAATCTATCGGTTTTTATATTATTAATTTCGTATCCATCTAAATCTTTCAAAAAGTACAAAGACCAATCGAAGACGACAAAAAACGGGTTGTGATGCTGTGTTCTCCCCCTCCAAAAAGAGCTGATTCTCATTCATTTTTCTTTCTTTTCTACTTTCTTATCTATGCCATAAATTTCTAGTCTTTTTGTTGGTTTCGTTCGAAATGTGCATAAATTTTTTGAGGGTAATGTAGTATTGCTGCACTAGAAAAAATAAAAATTCTCCAAAGATCTCTGCTCTCTGACCTTAGTTAGCCAATCTACCGATTCCTCAAAAATTCTTGCTAGCATGCTCCTCGACTGCCGGTTTTTCGGCATAGAGCTCTGCCACATAGCCGGAAGAAACCTTAAATTCCTCAAGAATTTCTGCTAGACTACCCTGGGTTGCTCTCTCGCCCTTCTCTCTCTCTCTCTCTCTCTCTCTCTCTCTCTCTATCTCTCGCTCTCTCTCTCACTTTCTCCATCTCACCCTCTCCTCTCTCTCTCTCTCTCTCTCTCTAACTGCTACACTCACTCGCTTTTTCTCTCGCCTCTCTCGTCCTCTATCTCACTCTCCCTCTTCCTCTTTTGTCTCTCTTCCTCAATGCTCTCTGGTTGTAAACCTGCGCATGCCGATATAAACATTTTTTCGATGCCAAATACGTTTTATTCCTCTGGACAGCCGGGGGGTTGGAGGGGTTAATGGAGGCAGGGAAATGACACACAAATAGAATTCGAATAGATGGTGGTAGGGGGCAGCATTAGCAGCAGACAGGGAATATGGAAAATGGAGGATTTTTTGGGATTTTCCGACGATTTCACTTGAAAGCAGTAGAGGAACGGGGTGGGGACCCACATCTTGATGACTAGATAGATGGGGGATACGGTAGCGTGGTTGTCATTTAGTGGACGGCAGGTGATGCTCCTTGTTGATGGCTTACAGCCGATCAAGGGAGATCTCGGCCTCCTCCGGGTATTCCAGCTCCCAGATGCGCTTCAGATGCTTGCCCTTAACGTCTCGGGACGCGCCGAAGCAGGTCATGTTCTGAAAAATGGACAATTTGCATAATTACGAATAGAATTATTGTAATTTTATGCTTTAAAAGCCTTTTAAAGCCCAATTTTAACTCCGTAAATTATATATCTTTAAAACCTGATTTAAATATTTTTCATTACAGGAAATTACAAAAAATACCAAGTTTTGACTTGGAGCATGTGGAATTATGCAATTATGCAAATTAGATAAACTACGGCAAAATCGCCGCTTTTCAAAATTCGCTAACCTAATTTGAATAATTCATAAACTTCAAAATCGAATTTTGCTTGAGCATTTTCGAAATTCTAGATTTTTCGAAACAGAAAGTTTCCAAAATTTGCATATTTCAGATCAGGAAAATTCCAGACGATGAAAGAAAGAAGAATTTTAAAAGCGTAAAATGCAAATATAGCCGCCTCAGGTTCGAAAAATGAGCAATTTCAATAATAAAGTTCTGAACCCCTAAAAATTAATATCAAAAACCATATGCAAATTGAAAAAATTTTAAATGCCTTTAAAAAATTGCCCGGTAGAATCATGGCGAAATGAAAATTTTCGTTTTTTTAATGGGCCAATGATAAAATTAGAACCTTACCTTCTGCGAGTCTCCGCGATTCCATCCGGCCTGGCTGGGGATGATGGTCTCCGACTTCTTCATGTCCTCATATGGCAGCTCACCGGCCTCGGCCTCGTAGGTCGTGTTTCGGATCGTTCCGAATCCGGTCATACCCTGAAAATGTTCAATAAATACCAAGAATCCATTAGAATTTCGACGTTCGAAGCAAAACTCTCAAAAAATAGAAACTTACGGCCTGAGAGGCGAATCGGTTGGTTCCGGACTGGAGACGGACCATACCCTGCGACTTCCTGTTCTGCCACGAGATCGACGGGTCGAGCACCTAGAAATTCGCATAGAATTTACAGGGATTGAAACGACTGGAAAGTTTTTAACCGTCTGGAATGCCGACACTTTGAAAGCCGACAGAAAAAATACCGACGAGCAAAAACATCGAAATCCGAAATGCCGAAACGCAGGTATTTAGATTTGATCGAACACTCTGGCGCGACCTTTCAGCCCCGTCCAGTAGTTCATCTACCGGCTGTTGATCTACCAGCTGGCCGACTTTTCCGAACGGTTCGAACAATTTTAGGCTCAAATTTCGTGCCGATTCGGGAGTTCATCTACCGGCGACCCGGTTTTGCAAGACGGCCTGACGGTTCTACTGGCTGTCCGAGTTTTCATATCGATTCGAATAATTCTGGCTCGGGTTATTCGAGTTCATCTACTAGCTGGCCGACTTTTAGAAATAATTCGGCAAGGTTTAGCTTTATTTTTAGTCAGGTCCGACTGTTCATCTACCAGCTATCCGTGCTTTCAAGAACGGAAAAGCCGTAAAAATTGGTTTTCCTGACGTTTCCGAAACTACCGACCCAATCGTAGCAACAAAACAACTTCAAGAAGTTAAAACGGTTCAATTACTCCGGCAAGGAACGCAAAGAAGGAAAGGGAGGCCCGAAAAGACACGATTTTTTCGCTGTTTTCGACATTTTCGACAAAACCCTAGCAACCGCTCAACTTCAACAAGTTCAAAACCTCATCTACTCACCTCCCAGCGTCCCTGCCCGAAGCTGGTCATGCCCTTCTGCGAGGCATATTTGTTGGTACCCATCTGCAGCGGGATGGTCGACGAATCGATCGACGACTCCGGGTTGTAATCCGGGTGAGCAGTGTCGACGATGCGGCATGTCTCACGACGGTTCGTTCCCATGCACGTCATTCCCTAAATGATGATTGAAATTAACACTCTCTGGGGCGGTAGATGCTCACCTTCTGCGAGGCGAACTTGTTGGTTCCGGACTGGAGCGGGATCTCGCTCTGATCGGGTCTCTCGTGATCATAGTCTGGGCGAGCCGTATCCTTGATCCGAGTCGTCTCACGACGGGCCGTTCCCATGCACGTCATACCCTGGAACATGCTAATTAGGCGAGGAAAATAATAAAAACTGGCGAAAAATATTTTTGTAACGAAAAATATACATTTTGGGGCTTTTTCATTATAGGGGGGAAACAAATTTCGTGCTTTAGTTTTCAATTTCTCTAGTATAAATAGTAAAACCGTTTATGCATCCGCAAAAAAAAATTTTTTTAAAGCTAACAATAAAAATGCAAATTCTGGATCTTTTTCATTAGCGGGGGGTGGCAGAGTTTTTTGTTTAGTACCCAATTTTTTCAAATAAATAGCGAAAGTATTTTAAACTGCTTTTACCGTTACCGAACGTAAAATTTTTTCAAACGTTCAGTAAAAAAGTACAAAAATATCGATTTTTTTGACAAAAAACGGCACCCCCGATAACGCAAAAGTACCCAAATTTGCACCTAATTATTTTTGCGAATTAATTAATGCTAAAACCAATACCCTAGAAAAATTAGCATACCTTCTGCGAGTCGTACTTGTTGGTACCGGCCTGGAGACGGACGATACCCTCGGAGAGACGGATCTTCTCCTCCGGCAGCTCCTGGAAACCAGTTTTAAAGGGCCATTGAAGACAAAATCCAGAAGCTTAATTAATACGAAATCTAAACTGTACAATTCCTTCAAAAAAACGTACGGGCAGATCGGTGGGGTTCTGGTTGACGCGGACGGACTCACGGCAGACATCACGGCCCGAACCGAAGTTCGTCATACCACGCTGAAAATCGATATAATTGATTTGCCGGTTTTAAAGGGGTGGTGACACCAAAAATACCATAGTCGTGTCGTTTTACTTACCTGGGAGGCATACTTGTTGGTACCGGACTGGAGGCGGACCTCACCGTGGGTGCGCATCAGAACATCTTCCGGGATTTCCTGAAAAAAAGAACAGATTTTATGCTGTACCATCTATTTTTTTCTACTTTGTAGTTCTTCTCAACAACGGGCTTTTAAAGGGATTTGTAAATGCTTTTTGCTTATGGATTTTAGGGGCTTTGGCGAGAGAGCAAGAGAGAGCGACGGATGCGAGAGAGAACGGCCAGTAGAAAGCGCGAGAGAGGGAGAGGGGGAGAGAGCTGTAGAGAGAGAGAGAGAGAGAGCACAGAGAGAGAGAGAAAGCGAGAGAGCGATAGGCAGTGCGAGAGAGAGTGAGTGTGTGGGAAGGAAAGCTATAGAACGCTAGAGAGAGAGAGCCATATAGAGAGCGAGAGACCGAACAAAGAAAGGGAGGGGAGACACAAGGAGGGAGCGAGAGAAAGCGATAGGGAGGAAGCGTGCGAGAGAGCGCAACAAGGCTAGAGAGAGGGAGAGAGAGAGCGAGAGAGCTAGCGAGAGTGAGAGAGACTGGGATAGATAGAAAACATTTGCATAACACGCTGAAAATGTATGGTATTTCAAAGGCAATTTTTAAGCTCCAACTTACAGGATACTCATATTCATAATAGTTATTCCCGACCAGAATATCAAAGCGAACCCGATGGGTTCGGGGCGCCATTCAAATTTTAAATTTAATAGTTTAATAGCACCTAATATCGAATATTAGAATTTAAATGGTAGAATAAATCGATGCGGGTTGAAGGAGTGACTATGCTGCTGCTCCTCGTCTACTACTACGTATATTCTCTTTTGTCGCTCCTACCCAAAAAAGAGGAGAATCGTTTGGTTCATCTGTTTGCGCAGCCACGACCCCCCCCCCTCCCAATTTGCCCATTTACTACTGCGCGCTGCTGGCGAGTAGTCCCACCCGGCTTAACAAGGCGATTAGGCGCTTTTTTTCTATTTTTTCTATGATTTTCCGGGGGGTTGTTGGGCGATTTCCAGACGTTGTTCTGCTACTGAGGAAGAGAAATAGGGCCCGAATCGTCAAAAAAATTAGGAATAAATAGTGAATTCTAATTTTTACAATTATTTGTCTTATTTAAGAAAGTTTGGCAGTTTTTAATGGGTCAAACATAATCTAATTTGCATAAAATGCCATCAAAAAATTGAGTTACATCGATTTTTGGCGTCGTAATTACTTGATGTCGATTTTAGTGCTTTTTAATTGGCAAATAAATCCGAATCTGCATAAAAATAACGGAAAAATTTTATCTTCAATTAAACCGGCTGTACGGTATCTTAAACAGGAATTAAATTACAAAAATATGTATTTTTTACTTTTTCAAAGGTTTATTTATAGAGTTGGAAAAATTGTTTAAAAATCCATTAAAGTGCAACCAAATACCATAAAAATACTCTGCCTATAATTATCATACCGTAAACGGTTAAACTCCATTTTTGTAGGTGGAAAAAAAACGCGCTCAAAAAAAGGCTGCCCACCTTGAGGTTCTCGGCCTTGACGCCAGTCTTGGTGTTCCTGGGCGTACCGAAGTTGGTCATCAACTTCTGGGAGTCTCCCTTGTTCCAACCGGCCTGGCTCGGGATGATACCTTAACAGAAAAAGACTCTCAATCGCCCGATGTACCGTACCATCAGTCTGACGGAGCTGGGCGAGGGTCCAGCGGCCGACGCGCTTCGGCTGGCCCTGGCCCGAGACCTTCGTCTCCATCGTGGCATTGGGTTGCTCTGAAAAACGCAAATTTCAACTTTGATTTAATCCGAATCTTAGCATTAATGAAATTAGATATTGACCGTAGTTTAATTCTTTTGCATATTTTTTTGTAAAATTCCCTAGTTTTCAAAATACCTTTTTATCGGTGCAGAGTTTGCATAATTAACATACAAAATACTACTTTCTTTTACTTACTTAAAAACTTAAAATTTTACACGGCCATACAAATGCCCAATTTGTCGGTGTTAACACCTTTAAATTTGCATAGCGTTTTAAACCCGGTATTTTCCAATTCGGCATTTTCGGTATTTTTGGTATATCGCCCGCCGATCCCTTTCACCGATCAAAAGCCGATCATTGGGAAAGCGGGCCGAAAAAGCTCGGAAAATTGGGGGCAATTTCGGTATCTGTTTACTCCTAGTTTTTCAGAAGGCACTGATTGTCAATTGAGGGCCTAGGTGGCCATTTGGCCACTCAAGCGGCCCAAGCGAGGGTGGACACTCAAAAGACGCGGCGCTACACGGCACTACGCCGCGATTTCACGCACGGAAAACAAGCCCCCCGGGTGGACAGCTGGACAAACAAATAAACATGTGAAATAATGGCGGACAGACAGCTAATTAGGCCGCTGGTGCTCCCAAAGTGCTAATAAAAATTTCCTAAAAAACATTAAAAAATCTTAAAAATTCTATAATGGATTTTCCGCGCTTTCTAATGAGCATCTACAGCTTTCAGAAAAATAACCCCAACTCCTTGAAGGTGACCGTGCCAAAAAAATCCTGTTATAGCGGGTGCTTGAACTCCTCGAAGATGAGGTCAAACTTTTAGAAGCAGGCCTATCACATTTTTTGAACCTAGCGACATCTTTTGGAGGGTCAGCTGTAACTCCTAGCAGATGCTATAAAATGCCGAGCAAGCTCGACCTTTTAGAAGCTAAGCTGGAACTTCTATGAGCTCGAACTCCTAGAAGATGCGGTCAAACTGCCAGCCGTCGACCTATCACATTTTTAAAGCTAGCGACGGCTTCTAGAAGGTCAGCTGTAACCTCTAGAAAATGATGTAAGACCACCGGGCAAGCTCGACCTTCTAAAAGATGAGCTTGAACGTCTAGAGCATGAGCTTAGACTCTTAAAAGAACTCTTCTGACTGAGAACTTCTTATGCTTGAACTGCTAGAAAATGACGTCTAGTTTTCCAAAAATCAACTTCAACCCCTAGAAGACGAGCTCAAACTCCTGGAAAATGCTGTTCAACTCCTAGCTGACGATGGCTAGAGCCTTAAGCCGTAAAAATAGAAAACGGCAGCTTTAGAACATGCGCTTGAACACCTAGATGAGCCTGAACCTCTAGAAGATGCTCTCAAGCGGCCGTACCACCCATACATATTGTTAGCTTACATTTAAATTAACGAAATGAACGAAAAAACACTAACCATGCACCGATTCCTGCTGCAATTGAGGCGCCGGCTGGATCTGGTGAACCTGCTGAACTTGTTGGGGTCTGGTTTCTGGTTTCTGTTGCTGCTCAACTGGCATGGGAGTGGAAATATTAGATGGTCCCCGATAGAGTTGGACATTCTTCAATTCCGGATAGTTTCCGAATGGTTTCGGGGACACTGGGGCGGCGATGAACTCCTTGTAGGTGGTTTGGTTTGGTTGAGCAGCGCCAGGTGACGCCTGCGCCTTTGTCTGCCCTCCTTCACGATGTTCTGACGGGAAATCGGGCACCAGCGAATTGCCCATCTTCTTGGGGGCGAGCCGCTGAACGGCTTCGGCTTGACGGGGCGATAGGGCGGGCCACTGCTGCTTTTGTGGATAGAAATGAGAGGGGAATCCGGATTGGGGTACGGTGGGTGAGGAGGCACCGTTTTTGGGTTCCGAATTGCTCCCCTGGACGCTGTAGCGCTCGGAGCGGAACGACGACCGCTGCTCGTACGAGAGGCCCAACATTTTCTGAAAATGGACATTGACGAAAACTGGACGTGGACAGGACGGCGGACATTTTAAAGGGACGTAGAAGGCACGACAAAGCTATATATTTTTCGAAAATTATTTAAATACCTTATTTTTATGATCTTGAAATTTGCATAATTAATGGGAAGGTTGAGCTAGTAACTTTTTTACAGTTAAAAACATGGAATACCTTTAAAATGACGATTTAGTACAATTGATTACGCTAGAAAATTCATGAAAATTCCGCATAAAAACTTACAAATATTTCCCGAAATCGCAAAAAACCAAAAAGTAATCAATTACGCTAGAAAATTCCTG